TTAGCTCATTGCTACGTGAATCAACTACTGTATCCCCAGCTGTAAAGCAGTTTTAATTAAAATTATTTGTTGCTCAATACCAATTTGTCCCCTATTTTGAGTATATTTTAGAAGATAATATTTTTTCCTTATCACTTCATCACTGGGCTTACTCTTTAAGGGACTGTACTCACTGATGCCACTGTGGTCAGAATAGAGTATATGGATTTTAACTGAGCAATGATGTAGGAACAATGTATTTTTAAGCTGGGCTTAGCTTTGGCTTGCATGTTTATGTATACCTCTGACAAGTGAATGAGGACTGCCCTGGCTCCAAGCCATACCTCTTAATAATCTTTTTTTTTTTTTCAGATCCTTGGGAAGTGGCTTCTCCAATGTATTGTGCTCATTCTCTTGACATCTTAATGCAATTTCTAGGTCTCTCAGCTAAGAAAAGACTATAGGTGCCAATAAAGTTAAAGGAGAACTATGTCTCCTTAAAGGAGAACCAGCCACAGACTGGGCTAAGTTGATGGTACTTAGAGAAAGCAATTGTTGTCATGTACTGTCTTCATGCTGTGCCAGATCATTTAAAGATGAGGAAATTATGTTAGCTTTCACTCCACCTGCAGGAGTTTGCGTGCTCCTGCTTTCAGGTCACCTGTGTTGAATAGAGGATGTTGCTTATTGATCTAGCAGTTATTGCAAATCTGTGCTGGGAAGCCAGAGGGCTCTCCATCAGGTCTTAGCTGGCATCCATTAGCATGGGGCATGGGGGTGAGTCATAACGTTTCAAGTTCTTTTAAAGGCTGAAGGGTGAAAGCAGAAGTGTAAGAAAGTGAAGATGTCTCAATGTGCAGGTGGAGGTCAGTTGACTTTGCCAGCCTGGAGAAACTGCTTCACTTTCACTTTGGGTGTGTTCATCTGGAATGAGCTGTCATGAAGGGTGTGTGGTCCTATAGTTCCAGCCTGAGGACCTCTTCTTCCCAGTGCCACTGCTGGAGCTGGCTGTGCCTGAGAGGTGAGCAGGCAGGAAAGCTGCAGCGCTCTCCTTGTTGTGTTGCTGTATCCATACAGGGGAGGGAATCTCAGCCTCTCCTAACTGGGGCTGGGATTCCCCTGTGTGGGTATAGCATACCTGAAAAAACCCTGGAAGTTTACTTTAGCGAACTAATCCACAAGAACCAAGAGATGTTTGAGGGGCTCTGTTCCTTAACATGCTGCAAGTCCCCCAAAGGGATGGCACAGGATCAGGGCTGGACGGGGCTCTGGGAGCCCCAAGCCCTTGTTCTCTTCTGCCCAGTGTGGAGCAGAATTCCTCTTACTGCCCTTTCATCCCTCTGTTCTTGGTTCACCTCTGCAGCCTGCATGTGGAAAAGCAGTGCTGCGGCCAACAAGAGAGATTTGAGTCATTCTTTGGAGAAAGGGAGTGGAGCCTGACCTCTCCCACCTGCAAAAAATTAATACTTATCCTTTCTGCTGAGAGATTAAGGTGAACACTTGGCACCTGCTAGATTCAGTGGAGCAACAACTGGTGGTGGATGTGTCACCTGCTCGTCTTCAGAGGAGAGGCTCTGGGGCAGGGGAGCAGGGGTGAGGGGTGCTGCCTCGCCTGGATGCTGCAGGCTGCCCGCACCTGAGGCAGTGTGGCACTCCACTGTCCTGTGAGAGACAAAGCCACCTTGTGAGAGTGACAGGCTGCGAGGGGAACAGACAACTTCTCTCTGACATCCAGAAATGATCCTTGCTGAGGTGCAAAAGCAGCTTTTTTTCCCCTCCCTAGACCCTCAGGAGCTGAGCCTTGGGTGCTGCTGTCGCCTGGTGCTCTGCCTTCACCCGTTGCCCCAAGGCAGGTGGCAGCAGCCCACAAGAGCTTCATGGGTAGGAGGCAGTGGCTGCTTTTTAGGGAACAGCATGGACACAGGCAGAGTAACTGGGGACAGGCAGTTTTGGCTGGCTAACAGCCATGGAGAGGTTGGAGGGAGGTGGGTTGCAGGACAGCAGACAGCTGTCTGCATCACAGGGAGCCTTGGCAGCTGCCCATGCTTGCCAGTCGTGCCAGAGGCCAGATGGAATAGGTGGGCACTGAAGAGGAGGGCCCCACTGCTGCTTCCCTTCTGCAGCTCTGCGTGGTGGCAGGGATGGGTGGCCCTGTATGATTACTCTCTGGTGGGCAAGGGAGTGCTGTGCTTGGGATGCAAAAGTTCTTTCTGTTTTGTCAGAAAAAGACATGCACGGAAATAAATGCAGAGACCAGGATAAATTCCACAAGCAGAAATACTTACAAAATGCTCACTGGTCCTGTCACAAGCTTCATTTAAATACAGGCTTGCTGTGGTCACCTGGGTAGCTTCAGTACCGTTGCTGGGTTTACACCATAATTTAAAGCTGAGTGTGTTGGAGATGCTTTTCTGAGCCAAGATCTGTCATTTGCCTCTCTCCGTGTCCCCCACTGGCTCTGGCAGGGTACCAAATAGCTTTGTTTTCTAGCTGCTGGTGGCTGTCCTCTCTGCCACTGGATGCCTGGCCCACACACCCCAGGGGAGTTTCCTGCACAGGCGATGCTGCGCTCCTGCTTTCCAGCCAAAGCACTTCAGCTCCCTCCACTCCAAAAGGCTGCACAGTGCAACCATGGATGTATGTGGGTGTGGGCAAACCATCCAGCTGCTCCTGGTTCTCATCAGTACTGTGGGAAGTCCCACTTTTCAGGGCCCAGCTATGTGACTCATTTGTGCCACAGGTCCCAGGATCTTGCAGCCCAGTTCATGCTGTGTGAGGTTACAGTGCTCCACAGCCGGAGCTGGATAAGCCAGGAGGAGCAGGAACAGGGCATGCCAGTAAAACATGGAGACATGTTTTCTTGTGTTCAGGACCTGATTGCCTGAGCCGGTTACGTGCTCTGGTTGGAACTTCACCATATAAGTCATGTTCACTAATGCTCTGTCTGGAGAAGGAGAAGTCGCAGCTCCTTTCCCAGCTGCATCTCGGTTTCTGTGTAAATGCTCTGGTTTCAGAAGGTCTTCAGCTACATCCTGTGTTAGTGTTCAACAATCTCTTACCTGTTGTCTTTTCAGTCATGATTCATTCATGGTTATTTAAACCCTGAGATGAAAGATAAACTACTCTTTTATTTGCCTGTCCCTCTGCTTTCTTACATCCCCTCTCAGATCACTGAGACAGAGATGGTGGTGCCTTTGCCAGCTTCTCCTGGGGCTGAAGCATGTGGCACCCGTGCAGTGCGGCAGGACGGAGCCTCCATCTCCTGGCAGCAGAGCTGCACGGCAGCCGGGCACCAGCTTCTGTCCGCAGGAGTTGTCCCAGAAAGGAGTCAGAAAGCTTGCCGAGGAAGCAGAGCAAAGCCTTGGCATGCATGGTGGTGGGTCCTGCAAGGCTCAGCCCCTCCGACCACAGTGGAACACAGCACTTATCCATCCCCAGGCATCTCAGGGCTTGTTCTGGTGGCCAAGGCAGAGAAATGGTCTCCATTTGGGTTTTCTCTCTGAGACCTAGAAATTTTTGTCCTGGACCTGAAGAAGGTTCTCATGAGGTTATTTTAACGCATTTCTGCCTGATGAAGCCCCAGCACCGTCCAACATCTCTTTTCCAAGGCTGACTGGAAGTGAGATGCTGCTGTGCAGAGAGTTTCAGGAGGGCAGAAGCTTAGAGATTTTGTCTCTCAGCCTCTGATAGTGGGCTCAGCATGTTCGTGCTCCTAAGGGCACTTCAGAACTGAATCTTTCTGGAGTCCTCCAGAAGAAGCTTAAAAGACCACGTTCAAAGTATTTTTCTCAAGCAATAAAGAGGTTGGGGCAGTTCTCAACATTGCAGGTGCAACTCGAGGCTTGGGGATTTTTCCATGTCAAGATTTGCCCATTCCATCACTTTTCCCTCTTTGTGCTCCTTGTGAGTGCCAAGTACCTGGTACCAAGGGAGAATTGCACACAGACACTTGTGTTTATTTTTGTAAATGGTTTTAAAAGAATGACCAGGGAGTTGCAAACGGATCTGAGCAAAGATAGTAAAAGACCACAAAGGAGAAAACAGTTTAGCAACAAGACGGGAGCACTGAGCTCTGCCAGCATCTCTGCAGGGTCTGCCAGGCTGTTACTCATCCCTCAGCTTACACTGACAGCCCCTTGCCTGTGGCAGTTGGAGAGGGACTATTGTCCCATGGCTGATGGTCTGGAGCAACTTCGACATGCTGCAGAGGCTGCCATCCTGCTCTCTGAGCTCTGCACCTGCACTGGCTCTGTGCTTATGGGACCAGGGTGGTTTAATTAAAGGTGGCAAAGCCACCTCCAGAGTCACCTCTGCAAGGCATCAGCTGCACATGCAGTGCCTGCAAGCTGCTGTCATGGGGTGCATTGGCCTGCTTTGCTGGCTGCCTGCAGTTCCTGAAGTGCTTTCAGAGAGCAATCACTTCCCCATGTCGAGCGCTCTTAATTGCCTGTATTTTTTTAATTGTTCAAGTCTTCCCCCAATGGCAGTCTCCTTTCCAAAGATGCCAGCTGAAAACTTTCTGTGTCCATGTCCCTGCTGTGCGCCTCCCCAGGAAGCTGGAGATGCAGTTTGCAGTGGGACACCTGCGTCTGCCAGGCAGTGACAACAAACCTTCCTGCAAAAAGGGCATGACAGTAGCACTGATCAAAGAGGCTTCAGGGACACATGGGCAGCGTGTGTCAGGGTCATGGTTACAGCCAGTGGACAGCTTAGGCTATCCTTGTGGCCACCAGACCTGGCTGGAAAGGGGGATGGTGCACACACATGGGTTTTTCCCAGAACCCTGGCTTCAAACACAGCCCAAGGAACTAGCAGCTGCCTTGAAGGTCCCATGCCTCTGACAGGAGTTACACCTGAGGAAGGGTGGCGGAAAGGAGAGGCAGTGAGAGGGGAAGCAGCTTTCCCAGGGCCACGCATCCAGGGAGCCATGCTGCCTTTCAGATCACCCCAGGGAAGGGGGGGAAGTTACCTACATGCCTCCCAACCAACCTGTGTGCCTGACTCTGATCTGTCTCCTCCAGGTATCTCTCAGCCATGAGTGCACTCGCGCCATCATGAAGCTGATGTACTGCCCTCACTGCCGGGGCATGTCCAGCGTGAAGCCATGCAACAACTACTGCCTGAACGTCGTGAAAGGCTGCCTGGCTAACCAAGCAGACCTGAACACCGAGTGGAAGTACCTGATGGGTAAGATGGCCTTCCTCTGCTGCAGCACACCTGCCTCTCATGTCACCTTTTGAACTCTGAGGCAGTGTTTGGCGAGTAAAGAAAGGACTGTTGGAGGCTCTTTCCCACTACAGTTTCTCTGTCTGTGATTTCATGCCTAGAAGCTATTACAGGACATTTTGCTGGGCTTTAATACTGTTAGAAAGGACACTGCTGGACTGGCTAACAAGGGCTTAGAGTTTTCATCTTGTCTGTGCTCATTTGGGATTGCCCACACTTTGCATTCAAGTAATCCTTTCTTCCCTCCCAAGAGTTGAAGCTTAGGGACTAGAGGAGATGAGCTTTGGACTTGGCCTTTTCCCTTGCCTTGGCACCCACTGCTTGGCCAGTGAGACTGCCAGCTCACTAGCCAGCTGTAGCCTGACAGGCTGGCTCAGGGTTGATGTGTTGTGGTGTTAACAATAAAAATCCCGCTGAAGTTCAAGGAGTGTCATCTGCCTCTCAAGGGACACTGCAAAATAAATGTCAAACCGTTACTCACAGAGGCCAGTGCACTTGCTCAGTGAGGTGTGTTGGCCAGCTGCCCGCCTCGCTCTGGGGGCTAACGAACCAAGTGGCAACTTACTGCAGCTAATTGGAAGTGCTCCCCATGAGAGCAATTTGGGAGGCTGCTGCAAAAGAGCAGGGGGAGTATTGCCTTCCCCAAGGTTTTACACCAGGACTTTGATGATGCTTTGGCCTTTCTGACCGGAGCAAGGCAACTGTTACTGGTTGCTGCTCTCCTGGCAGGATGACTGCCTGTCTCCTGAAAGGTCAATGTATACCTCTCCTTGATTGTCAGGGAGGCAATTCTGGATGCACTTATTCCAGCTTCCTCTTCCCCAAGAGACACTGTCAAGGGGTGATGGCTAGGAGGAAATTGGAGCTTCTGTCAGATTGCAGTTGTACATTTTAGTGTCAGAGGTCACAATTTGATCAAGGACTGGAGCAGGACATAGAGTTAAAGGTAGCAGTTCACTGGCATTGTCCATTCTTCACACTTCTCCAGACCCTTCTGTGTAGCTGGAGAGGATTTTGTTACACTAAACACAGAGTTACTCATTCAGTTTGACAAATTGGCAGGTCAAATTAAGGGAGATTTTTATAGTAAGTGGTTCAAACATAATTTATCACTAATTTGGAGATGCAGCCTTTGATTTAAATGTCTGTATCACATTAGTGCCTCTGCAAGCTAAAATTGTCTGGAAATACAGTCTCAAAAATGACACCGCAACCCTGAGTGGCAGAAAAGTTAAACTGCAAAGTCTTTAATGTTGCAGGAAATATTATTTCCCAGAATACAAAAAAAAAACCTTGTATGGCGTGTTTAGTGTTAGAAATCAGCGCTGCCACAGGACTGTGTCACAAGAAAAGAGAGCACATTAACTTGGAAACTGTGGCCCTTGTTTCCATTCTTGCTCAAGCTAACCAGCAAAACCTTTTTTCTTTTTTTAAGTGCCACAAATAAATACATAATGTTTCCAAGCTGGGACTTTGTATGTTGTTAAATCCTATATTATAGACCTGAACAAAAAGTATTTTGTGATCCACTCTCCAGACTGGCTGAGGTTTGAGCCCTCCCAGTTCTTTGACTATTGCCCTTGCTCCCTGCAGGCTGGACCTGCTTTCAGACTGTGAGCTATGTGGGCTTGATCTGGTGTCTTCTCTGGGTTTGTGCTGTCCCTCATCAAGTCTTTGCCCAGCTTGGTCATTCTCTGAGAGCTTTCAGGGTCTGGACATCAATCATGTAACAGCAGAGAGAACATACTTATGAGAGTTGAGCGTGCTGTTAAATGGACAACAGTGGGCTCAGGATCAGACCTTCGTTATTAACACACTATGTCCACTCTGGACCTAGTGTTTCTGCACAAACCTGACCTAGACCTTGTGGAAGTCATTTGGAGTCTTTCTGCCAAGTCCTACTGGCCTTCCCAGGCAAGGGACTGAATGCTTTCCTAGCAGGTTTGAAATGGCAGTGGTCTGTGGTTGTGCTCCAGTTGTTTGGACTCCTGCTTGAAGGAAATTTGCTGTGTGGCTCAAAGATAAGCATCAGTCCTTTAAAGTGGTATCACAGGTGACACATGCAAACTGTGGGATGGTGTAGGTTGAAGGACATGTTTTACTGATACTGTTGAACTGCCAGGTAATAATTCACCGGGTGGTTTCATTGCTCATGAAAAATGTCAGCTCAATAAGCTTTTATGCAACATCACACCATCTGCTGTGACAGTCTCCTGCCAGGCTGATGGGTGAGGTATCAGGATTTAGGACAGAAGAATTAATCACTCCTAATGGATAACTTCATTTATGAATGGTACAGACCTCCAACCTCGACCCTGGGATTTGACCCTCTTTGTGTAGAGGAGAACCAACACAAAGCCGTCGCACTTGTTTTCTTCCATGTGGCAAGGCCACAGGAACATGAAGCACTTTCTGTTCCAGATGAGTGTGGGCCACTGCAGCGCTCTGACAGATCCCTTGTCCTGCCAGGAGGTTTCTGGTGTGCCCTGGGGGATGCAGACCACACTGACGCCATCTGAGGTCACATGTAACTGAATGCCAAGTCCCTAAATGCTCATGAAGCTTACTTGTGGCCTGGCCTCTGGGCTACTAAAGCACAAGTGGTAGGAAACCAAGGCAGCAGCAGCATAGCAGTGACTTTCAGAATTACAATTTTTGACAGGCAAAGTAAGATCTGGTTAAGATCCCATTTTAGATGTCCAAACCCAGTTTTGGCCCTGCCCTGAGATCCTATTTAAATCTCGCTGGATACTGAGGATGCCAGCTTTCCTCTGCAGTGGCATTCCCCAGTGCCCCGAGCCCTGCGAGCCTACAGGCTCTCCTTGCTTCAGACCCAATTGGAGTGCTGAGAATCATCTCTGGAGGTAAGCAGAGGTTGATAGTGTTTGTAAGCCGAGCACAGTCCCAAAGCAGTCATCCAGGCAGGACCTTCCAGGCCAGGCAGGAGCACTTGTACATCAGAGCTTTCCAAGATAAGAAGAGCTGAGAGCAAGAGGCGCCCCTCAGTCACTCCCTGTCGTGTTTAACAGTTAGTTGTGGGCATTTTGATGTGCTTCTCTGCCTTTGTAGCCTGATATTTCCCTGGCAGGTCACATGTTGTTCTTCCAGAGGTGATGGTGAGAAGAATTACTCCTTTTCTCACTCTTTCACTGCCACAGAAGCTACTACCCACATCCAGTACCTTTGGCACTTTATTGACATCAATTCTCCCACTTTCTACTGGCTGCCACGCATTGCTGAAGACGTGCAATGAATTAGGAGGGTTAGAACCAGGTATTGCTATGCATTACTTAATATTTCTGCACCGATTTTCCATTTTTCTTTTCTGTAGCACCCCGGGAAGTGTTGGTCACTTTGTGTGAATACAAGTGGCATTTACCATTTGCAGGAGATGACCTCTATTCCGCTGCCACTGAGGGTGGCTTTACCTATATTCTGGGAAGGGACAGCTGTCCCACACCAGAGGAAAATGAGCATGCACTTGGACAGCAGTGAAAATGGAGAGATGTCTCCTGACAAGCCTGCCAAAGGGCCAACAGCTTATCCCACCCAGTGTGAACATAGTCTTTGACTTGGTTTGTACAGAGTCTGATAAGAAATGTCTCTGTCTTGTTTTCCTAGATTCCCTGGTCATAGTGGCTGATCGGATTGATGGTCCATACAACGTAGACACTGTAATAGGGACCATTCACATGAGGATTGCTGAAGCTATTTCTAATTTGCAAGAAAACAAAGATTCATTCACAGCCAAGGTAAGAGCACGTGCCTGGGGCTGGCTGAGGATACGCCATGTGTAACTGCCAGGACTGAATGTTTTTTGTTCTCACTATTCAATTGAGCTAAAGGAGACGAAGGTTGAAAGAGATCAAATGCCCACTCTTACAATGATAGGAAACCACTCATCTTACACAGGCAAAAGCCTTCACAAGTCTTTCCAAATATTCGTCCCTACCACATCCAGCCAGCCTCCTTTAGGTACACATAAGGTGCGTCTGTGGGAGGCATGGTGCCATTTGCTGTCAGGTGCCTCTGTGTCTGAAGAGTCCTGAAGTATTTTGGCTGAGCTGAGGCATTTACAGAAGGTGCACAGTCGCTAGTGACAGAAGACAGCTGCTTTAACCTGCCTTGGGGTGATGTTCTGCAGTGGAAACACTGGGCTATCAGGTTGTATCTGTGGGACAGAGTTGCAATCTGGCAGTCCATCTGGAGCGTATAAAACAGCCTCTCCTGACGCTCACCTGTCTTCCAAGAAGTATATCATGAAGCTCTCTTCTATTTTTAGGATATTTGTCCACTTAACCACTATCGCCTCTCTAGCTGCAGGTGAGAGAAGCTTTGGGAACAAAAGCAGCCCTACAGGGCTTCTGCTTTTCCCCCAGACATTCCTGAAGTCCTGAAACTATCCCACAGTTAGAGCAGAGATGCAGACGAAAGGAGGAGGGCAGTCCTAACTGGGTCTTGGAGAAGGGAAGGGCCAGAAGTATTACTTAGCCAAGCAAGAATTCACTGGCACACGTCAAAGCACTAACAGCAGTATGCATCCAAGTACTCGGTTGGGTTTCTTTTCTGACATGAAAAGCCATATTATTTTTTCCCTACTTAGGTGAGACTGAGGTTGTCCACATAAAAGCAAGCTCATGATGTGGTAAAACATGGCATCATCTGCAAAGGTGTTTCTGAGGGGCATATAGTAAAAGGCAAAGGAATAAATAGTCTAATTGGTGTTCGACTGGAGCAACCAAACATGTTTGACAAGCTTCTCAGTGTAATCTGGTGACCAGGTGAATGTGGCAGTCTTTGAGGATAGCACTAGTAGCAGAGGTCAGGAGCTGCAGATTACCGCAGCTCTAAGCTCTGATATTGAGCATGGCAAAGTGATCAGGTAAAGGGTATCATTGTCAGATGAGCTCAGGACTGGCCCAGGCCAGTCCTGGGAGTCTTCCTTCTCAGGGCTGAGTGCAGCAGGCTCAGGCTGCAGCTATGGGCTTCAGCTATTACCAGCCTAGAGCCAGGGCACTGTCTGCCATTTGTGAGAAGAACTGGAAGTGGCTCTTGGACCCAGTGACACCCTCAGTCATTGGTTCTGCTGGGTTCTGGGGAAAAACTGGAAAGAGACACTTTTGGTACTGAGCCCTGTGTTCACTGCACCGCAGAGCGCTCTCCCTGCTGCCTTGCACTCCCCCTCGCTCCCTGTGGCTCTCTGGTGGATTTCAGGCTGCAAACATCTATTTGCTGTCATTATGCAGGAGACTATCGATCACCTCAGTCTGCAGGACACGTTCTCTTCATCAGTAATGGACGTTGCTCACCTAAAGCCCTTGGGCTGGCAAGAGGATTGCCTTGATAGCATGTTGTGCTTGAGCTGCTGCAAGAGCCACTGTCCTGGAGACCTCCCAGGGCTTTTACCTCCTGAAAGAGTTGTCTCCTGCTAACAACAGTAATAGGCCAATAAGAAAGATACAGCAGTGAAACCAAATTTGTTTTATTTTGGTAGAACCAAGTTGAAAATGCTCTACATGCCGTTTTCAAGGTGGGACTTTTTGCATGGAGCAAAGGAGACAGATGAACAAATCAGCTTGGTGCTGAACTGCCATTGGATCCATCAGGACAGTGCACCCAAGGAGGGGGTGTTCTAGGCTGAAAGTCCCTCACATACACCAATGAGACCCACCATCACCACAGGAACTCTTGTCTAGGGTAGGACTTTGCTGGTGGCTCTCAGAATCCACTAGCAAAAGCGTTCAGCAGCTGGCACAAGCTGTGTCAGCACTGTTCCTGTCTGAAGTCTTGATTTCTCTGCTTTAGGGGTACACTGTGCAAAGTTGAATTTATCGATAGCTTCTGACAGCACCCTGGTAACCACAACAAGCTTGCAGCCATCTTTTCAAATCAGATGGCTTTCGTTGAAAAGGCTGGTGTTTCTTCAATCAAACTGACAGGGCAGAGGCCCTCCTGACCTTTGACGCTTCATTACATCTGGCTGTCCGAGCACTCCTTCCGCCAGCCACAGTGAGGCTCAGTTGCTTGAGCACTGGCTATCTGCAGCGGAGGTGTCGTTGCCTGGACTGGTAGTGCAGAGACTGGGAGAAACAGGCACTTCCAGGGCACCCTTCATCTCCTCCTAGAGGCAAAGTCTGAGGATTTGTACCTTCAAAGTGCTTCTGCTCTCCTTTGGCTACAACGTGCACCTGGGCAGGTAGTTAGGATGATGGGCGATACCCGAAATTAGGAGCTAAATCAGTTTGACTTACTCATTTGCCCCTGAAACATCCAGCCTGACAGTTTGTGACACATCTACTGTCTTTGCACTCCCCTGGTCAGAAGGTCATTCATTTGCTCAGTGTGGGTGCTGATTGCAAGAGTCATTGGGATAGCCCCACCTTGGTCTGTTGTCCAAATCAATGAAGCTCACATGCTCTGCAATCGTGAAGCCCACACCACTGGTGTAATGAGTGTGAGCGACATCATCTTCTCCACAGAATTTTATGTTTTAAATCATAATTGGAACAGATAAAATCTCTAGAAATAATTTAATATCAACATTGGTGACTCATCCAAAAACATGTACTAGTTTTGTGTTAGTGCTGAACATTTTACTTGATAGCAGTAACCAAAACCAGTTACAGTGTGCTGAAAACACATCCTGGCACAAGTGTAACCTGGCCAGAAACTAAGCCAGAATCTTGGAGATCTTGCAGGTAGGACAGGTAAACATACTTAGGAGGAAAAAAAAAAAAAAGGTAACTGTGGAATGCTAATTAATTAAAGAAATAATGTCAAAGCATGGAATAGTGAGTTTGGTTTGTTTTTCAGGTTTTCCAAGGCTGTGGAAACCCAAAAATCAGCACAAAAGGCTCCAGCAGCGAGGACAAGAAAAGGCGGGGAAAAGTCACATTGGAAGCAAAATCCTCTGCGCAGGCACTGGAGTTGGTGGTGAGTTTGCCTCCGAAGGTCCCTCCCCACCAGCGTGCCAGGGCAGGTGTGCTGGTGCGCTGCCTTCCCTGGGAGCCCAGCTGGCACAGCACTGGGTCCTGCAGGCCAGGGCAGACCACCCCGTGGCTGCTGAATTGCCTTTGCTGGCGAGTCTGAAGAAGATCAGATTGGTGAGTGCTGGCATGACCTAAGCAGATCTGATCTTGGCACAGGGTCACAGTCTGGGTTGCTGATAATCAGTTTCTCAGGGATTTGGTGCCCAATTTACCTGAAAAGGCTCTTTGCCATTGATGACGTTCAGCCTCAGGCAGTCCAGCCTGGATACTGGGGCCAGAGGTCCTCCTCCATGGAGATTTTGGATTCTGTGGATGATGAGCTTCAGGATCTGCCATGGTCCCACATTTCAGAGGCTTCTCGCTCACAGACACCTGCATGTCCCGCTCTGACAGAGCCATGCTGGCTCCCACCAAGGCTGCTTCTCAGCATTGCCCTCATGGCCCAGAAGATGATCTCCTGGTTAATCTTATGTTACTAGAACAGTCCTTGGCATGTAACCTTCAGCCTTGGATGCTTGGGCTGATGACTGGTCTTTAGGGGAAGGTTGGTGACACATCCCTGTCTGCATAAAAACAGACTTTGTGATAGTAAAACCGAAAAAAAATAGGCAGAATCCTTGTCCTTTCCACAGCCCTGAGGCACCCCAGAGCTCTCCTGGCCCTAAACATCCTCTTTGTTTGCAGGTTTTAGATGCCAAAGGGAATCTGACAGCTCTCAAGACTTACTGGATCACTCTGCCCAGCAGCCTGTGCAGCAAAAAAGTAATGGCCAGCTCAGCAGCAGATGAAAAGTGTTGGAATGGGATGACCAAGGGCAGGTATGGAGAGGGTCAAGCTGCCAGGATAGCACATTCTGGGGTGAGAGAGGGAGGGTTTGATAAAAGGCAGTTATAAATCATCTCAGCCAGCCCCACTAGTTCAGACTGAGCTGAAAGGTCTGTCCCTGTGCACAGAAATGCTGCGCTTCCTGAAAAACTGGCACCTAGGAATGTCAAGCCTGTTGTCATTTTGCTGTGTGTTGGAGGGTTAAGCATTGAAATGCATTTGCCATAAAATAACTGTGTAGTTTTGTACTAATGAAGCAGTTTTGTAATTCCATGTGCACTCAGAAGGCAGAAGGGCTGGATTTGCCTCACAAACTCCAGAACTGTGGCTGAGTATTGCATATGCATCCTTCTATCCGTACCTGCTCTGAAAAGCTGTTCCCTCATGAGAGGAGGCACCCAGGTGACATCAAACAGCTGCAGAAACACCTCCCACCCGTGACTCATGGTTAAAGGATGGCTGTGAGGGGAGATGGGCAGCTGCTGGACATGCACCTTTCTGTAGACCTGCTGGGCTAGTCTCTGCCAGCCCGGAGCTGGTGCCTTAGGTTCTTCCATATTTCACGTTGTTGCCAGCAGTGCCACAGATCTGCAGGAGCAGATGGGCTGGGGCACTGCCAAAGAGAGCAGCACAGCTCTGCTTGCTGGTTGACAGCTCCCAGCTAACTGAAGCTTTTCTGAGAGCCTGTCTGGTTGTACTGGGCTGGGGGCATTCAGTCGTCCCAGGGTGTCAGTCCCCATAGGGTTTAACCAGGGCAGGGAGGAAGGTGCTCCCCAGCCTCCCATATGGGTAGAACTTTTCCATAGGGGAATGTCACAGTGGCTCCACAGGTGCCATCCTGAGAGCAACCCCTCATCCTTGTGCACAGCCTTTCCTGCAGGAAACCCCTCTCCATGCCAGGACAGTGTTGCTGCAAGGCCACCAGCAACCCTCCTGCAAGCTGAGGTGGCCTCAGGGTGAGACCCAGGCTATGATGGGGTCTGGCCATGGCAGCATGGCTCAGCCACCCATAGAGCTGGCTGCCTCGCAGCAAACACCAGCATACGGAGGCTGTTCGACAAGCCAGCACCACTGACTGCAGCTTCTCTGGGGTTCAAAGAGCGTGGATTATCACTGGCATCTCTAATGGAGAGAGGTGAGCTTAGCTGGAGGGGAGACATCTAAACCTGTTGCCTTCCTTCGCAGTTACCTGCCCGAAGTGATGGGGGACGGCTTAGCTAATCAGATTAACAACCCAGAGGTGGAGGTAGACATCACCAAACCAGATATGACCATTCGCCAGCAAATCATGCAGCTAAAGATCATGACAAACCGGCTGGGCAATGCTAACATCGGGAATGATGTGGATTTCCAAGATGCGAGTGAGTTTAGCAGAACCACAGCAGGCAAGAGGGGCTGAGCTAATTGGTGTTCAACTGGAACAGGCAGTCCTGGCAGCCTGCATGGGCCTCCGTGCAGATCCTGCAGCTGGGCCCTGACACCAGAGGGGGGGGGGGGGCGACCTGCCTTTCGGCTCAGGGCTGCAGGGGGTCTGTTTGAGTGCAGCTGACTTGCTGCAGGGTGGCTGGAGGCTGTGCTGCTCTCAGCACCTTACTGAAACCTCAGGTGCTCTTTCCAGTCCCAGCCCAGCCCTGCTGATGGGGCCACTGCTCCTGTTTGCTCCAGAGGTTTACAGCTGCTGCAGCAGCGGGTGGTTAAAGTCAGCTGGAGATCAGGTGTGGGCTTGCATCCCATAGTGGGGGATGCAGAGAGGAGTAGGTGGCTGGGGCAGGGCTGATGGCCAGAGTTCCCCAGGGTTGCAGCAAGGGGAAGACAGGAAGGCTGCCCGCCGTAGGGAAGGCAGGAAGGTCACCCGCCATAAGGGAGGCAGTCGGGGCTCACCCCATGTTTGTCTCTGCGCAGGTGACGACATGAGCGGCTCCGGGAGTGGTGACAGCTGTCCTGATGATGTCTGTGGCAAAAGACTTTCTAAGAGCCCCAGCACCAGGCAGCCAGAAACGCACGCTATTCCTAAGCAGTCTGGACATGGCATCAGTGGGGCCAGCAGCAGATCTTTGCCTTCTGCCTTCCTCCTCCTCCTTTCAGTGGCTTTCATTGCCACGCAGCACTTGTGGCGGTAACTCACTAAGCACAGCCAGGAAAGAGACTGCGGCCAAGGGCTTCACTTTGCCAAAACCAACCAACCAACCAACCAAAGGACATATTTAATTCACCTTGGCAAAAAAAAAAAAAAAAAGAGGGAGGAGAAAAAGGTTTCAGTTGTTTGCTATTTCTGGCAGTGCTCGAGCTGTTTTCTTCTTTCTTGGTCTTTTCCCCCAATGCTGGGCCCTTCTTTCCGTACCTCATTGTTTTACTTTTGTTATTGCCACAAACTAGCTCTCGGGGCTGAAACAAGCCTTTGCAGAGAGGCCTCCAGGGCGAACCCGGCCGGCCCCTCAAGGGCAGCACTTCTACTGCCTCCAGTGGAATATGCAATTGCCCTGATCTTGTTACCCAGCCGCTGGCCAGAGCGCTGCTTACCATATAGCTGCCAAAAGCACAAAGGTGCCGAGAGCAACGCCACTTCGTAATGCAGAGAGACTGAGATCATCAGCTCTGTACAAGTGCTGCATTCAGGGGCTCCTTTGGGTTTTTCCTCTGTACTTCCTAGGCAGGTAGAGATGGCCCTTCACTTCCAGCGGCATACGTAGGAGCATGAGCAGGTTTGATGGGTTGAACTGGAACAGTTTGGCAGTGGCTGTTGGACCCGAAAACGCAGAACTCCCTTTTTCTTTGGAAAGGTCACAAGTGGGTTTCTTGACTAGAGCTTGTAGCTGATGACAATTTGAAATGTAGGTCTCCTACATCTAAGTGACTGGGAATGAGTGTTAGGGGTTGGGGTTCGGGGTATTTTTTCTTTGCATGCTAGTTGGAAAGCCATTTTTTACCCAAGTAATAATGGTCCATTTTCTACTTGCAGTGCAGTACCATCGTAGGTAACAGAGAGATGAAAATATGCACAGCGTGATTCTCCACTTGACAGACAGTTGTGCTGCTTCCTCCTCTGGCTCCAGCTGTGGGTCAGAATCCCTTTTTTTTTTTCTAATAAGAAAGACCAGGGACTTTTTATTAACTGGAGCACTGTGACTGGTTGTGAGAGCTCACACCGGGCACATGCGAGAGTGACACCCTGGCAGCTGCCTTAGGGCAGAGAGGGGCTGGTAGCAATCAGCTCTGGGCAGTGTCCCTACGCAGGAGACTGACTCAAGGTAGCACCTACCAGGGGGTATGTGAGGACGGGACATGTTTTGTTTGGAATATTTTTTTTCTTTTTGTGTTTGTTCCTGTTGCATCGTAGGTTTTTAAGTGAATTCCCGCTTTCCCTGTCCCTTCTCCATCCTCCCACACACCTTCCCTAACCACTGCAGGGCGAGAGTGAGACAGCAGGTGAGATGCCTGCTAGCAGCTTCGTTTTGGCTCAGGGAAGGGCCAGGCTCACCCTCTGCCACCCCATCCCACCACACACCAGCTTCTGGGTCATGCAGGCAGCTGCCCTAACCCCAGAATGCTTGGTGGGGTGGACTCCATGCCAGGTTTTGAGACTCGGAGTGGTTGGTGAAAGGTATAAATATCTTCACATAGCTGTAGGAGTGTCTGTGCTTGTAGGGCTGTGTGCTTCGGGGCTTCCAGAAGGCTTCTGTACCCAACGGGTATGGCAAGCATTGGCTGGAGATGTAGGTTTAGCAGATGTTGTAGATACAACACAGTCATCATGACTGGTTGGGCCAGGAGCACACCCAGGGGTTGGGCTTCATTCGTACGGGGTTGGGTTTGAGTTTCAAATATGTTTGTTACTACGGGAGAGAGGGAGGGCAGAGGTGTATCTATCTCCTACTTTACCAATCTGCAGAGCAAATGATTGAGCATTTCTCCTCTGTCCTGCCAGAGGAGACGTGTCTTTGGGCTGAGCGGACATTATGGGGTTGGGGTTTGGCTGTTTTCTAAGAAAGCGAAAAATAAGCATTTTTAACATTAGCAGTTTCTAGAATGTGCAATTTAAGGGAAGATGAGAACATGAGCAAGGTAACGCTGAAAGCCAGTGCAGGCGGGCACAGAGGGAGCTTGTCGCCTGTCCTCCCTGGGGCAGGGGTCCCACCCAGGGCCAGGTAACGACACTGACAGTGCCTCAAACTAGGCAGAGATTTTAAGCCAGCTTTGACTGGCTTCTCCAAGTCACAGTGACTAGTGTTACTGACTTGGTGTTCTTTCTGCCCTGTACTCACCTTCTTCTAAGATTAAAGCCCATCTGATCTGATAGGGTTTCAGAAATGAAAGCCAGGATGCTGGATGTTGGCTAAAGAACAGACAATGCCACTGGGTCCATCAGAACCCAGGAGCGGATACATCATGGATTTATACAGGTTTACTTACTTCTAGAAATATGGCAAGTTCCATGTGGCTTTTACTGCTCTAAAGAGTTCCTGTCTTTTTTTTTTTTTCCTTTTTTTTTTTTTTAGCCAGAATTGCCTGGTTAAAATAATCCTTCAGTTACAGAAATCCCCACAACCAATCCTGCAGAAGCTTTACATCCAAAGCAAAAAAAAAAGGAGGTGGAAAGGGCATTAGAACATTGTATCCCCTTCAAAAAACAGTTGGGTTGGATTGGGATTCTGACACATGGATGACAAGGTCAATGTTTTGCTTTGCAGAATGGGAAGCAGAATGAAAGGAAGATCCTTGTCATTTCCATTTATGTGCAGGTAGCGTTTCCTGTCAGCCTGTTACCTTCAGAAGCTCCTTACAGGCCCCAAGGGGAACGCAACTCAAATGTGAAGCCAAGAACTTGCTGATTGTCCAGTTAATATTTTAACAATTTAATAGCCCAAATTATTGTTTCTGTTACAATAATAAAACCTGATAGTCCAAATTAATAATGCAAAGCCTCAAGGATACAGTAAAAACTGTTACGCAGGAGAAACCCTTCCTGATGCCTTCTGCCTTTGGCTGGGGTTGAGATTCCATTTCAGGGTCCCTCTGCACCCCGAGGACAACTGCTTCAGTCCTCCTGGAGCCGAGCTGGGGGTTCAGCCCGTGTCGCAGCCTAAGGTCTGCGCCGGAAGGCGAGGGCAGTGCCACAGCTTTTTCCTCTCTTTGCTGGGACGTGCATGATGGTGAGGTTGATGCCTCCTCCCTCCTCAGCCCAGGGTCTGCTTGGGTTTATTTTGTGTACGTTTTCACATGGTCTGCCTACACTGCTGCTTTTTGTCAGTTCCTGGTTATTCATTTTTTCTGTTCTCTTTGTTACCCTGAAGTGCTTTCCCCAACCTGCTGCAATTCAGTGGCCTGGGACTGCACTCGGCCGTACCACCTTCCACTGGGGAACTGAAACGGCCAAGTTCCCCCAGGGTGTGGGCTCGGTATCACTCTAAACTAACGCAAACCTAAAGCAAACCGTAGTTGCCTGACAGCTGGACAACTGAACAAGCTGAAGTCAGCCCAGGTCTAGACAAGCCCTGAGCCTGTGCTCGGGCTGGTACAGAGCCTGGGGCCTTTCAGTGCTTATAAATGACATTTCCTGGGCTACTGCCTGCTCGAATCCGTTGTGACAAACCTCCCCAGCCACGTGGAGGTGGCAGGCTGAGGGCTGCAGCCACGGGGGGGGCTGGCGGCTGCCATGGGTTGGTTACATGAAGGGGGAGCTCTGGGGAATGGGGAATGGGGGTGGCTGGGGAGGAACATTTGCTTTGATGTTATCAAGATGGTGATTCATGGTGTTCTGGTTTGAAAAGGCCTCGTGCTTCACAGGGATGCAGAGGAGGGTCATGGTCTAGGAAAAAAAACTAACAAAGGCCCCTGTCCCTGGAGAGGGGAGAACCAGAAGTAGTGGATTTCCAAGTGTCTCTGTCTTTCAGCCTGCTCTTTTGTGCCATAATGTGTATGTTTTAATTAAGGGCGAGGGTCTCAAAAGGCTTTGAGAGCACAGCCACTTATCATTTACAAATGACAAACTGCCTCTTGTTTTCTGGTGGGCTTGGTAGGGTCTAAGGTATAGCAAAATATCTAAAGTCCACCTTTGCTTTAAACAGATGCATTTCTGTCTGCAGGAGTAAGAATTATTTCACTTTTTGGCATAGCTGGACAGTTATCTATTTCTTTCTGTTACCAAGGTACTTGTAACACTCTTGCACTGTTTATCTAAAGTTGAAATATGTTCTTTGAATCCTTGTATAAATAAAAAGGCTGGAGACTTAAATCTGTATTTACAGGTCAGTTTTATTTCTTCTCCATTTAAGCTGAGTTTGGAGTTTTCTTTCTTTTCCCTTGCTAAGGTACAGGTAAAGGCCAGGTCGGGAGTCCCGAGGAATGAAAGTTTGTTTTCAGCCACAAGGTCTGTAATGGGCTGATGCCAGTGGTGCTGCAGGTTTGCCTGCATTCAGCCCTGTGTAATCTGTCAGAACAGCTGCTAGGGTTGTGTGGATGGGGTGTGTGTGGAAACAAGTGAGCCTGACTCTAGTTGTCGGAGCAAGTATGCTAAAAGTTCTCTTTCTTACATAGATGCACAAAAAGTCATGGCGTAATAATGCAAGGAATCAGAAATATCCTTGGTATTTGTCACCATCGAGTGTTGTGGCAGTTATTTACCATGGCCTTGTACTAGTGCGGTCGTTGGTAGGGTTAACAGCAAGCAAAGCAGATCACTGGGTGTTTGATATTGAGCACGTGCCTGAGACTGAACCCATGCAGCAGAAAGGTTTGTGCTTCAGCTCTGCGCTATCCAGTCCCAGAAGTGGGTGGGTGCAGGAGTCAAGGTAATGCATCAAAAGCCGCTCATGAAGTGTCTAAGGAGAAGTGTGGGGAGATATATGGGGCATCTGCCCCAGCAGACAGGAGTCAGGACCTGCCAAGGCAACATGGAACCCTGTTGCATCAGCCCCCGACCCCGCAGCACCCCAGCCCCCACCTGCTCTGGGGAACAGCCCCTCACTGCAGACCCCCACCCCAGCTGCTGCCAGCCATGGGAAGGCGAGGCTGGGCACTAGCCCAGGAGGCCTCTCAGGGAAGGGCTGAGCTCCCCACGGCCCCTCATCCTGAGGAAGCACCCTGCCAGCAGGAGGGGGGCAAGGATGGACTTCTAGAACACGGGCTGGGGGTGCCCATGGTGCCAACCACCACTGCCCAAGGTAAGGCTGTCCACAACCATTGCAGGAGTGTGGCCATAACACGCCATCGCAGTGTCAGGACACCCCTGCAAGTCTCCCCATGCAGTGGAGC